CCCCTCTCAATGGCAACAAATGTCACAGATTCCAGTCCCAGGCCTTCCCAACCCCAGTGTGGCCCTGCCGTGCCAGCAGCGTTCCCTGTTCCTGAATAGCAGGATCTCCCTGAGCAGAGACTGCTGAGCTGTTCCTAAGGACACAGCTTGTGTGACATGGGCTAACGTCCAGTGCGGGGAGCTGCATTAAGAGTCTTGAAAGCAGTCTGACTTAAAGCAGGGAAGACGCCTGCTCTCACTGGAATGTCAGGGAAGCTCGTTAACTTCCATCCGCAACCCGGCACCCTAGTTCTGTCCAAGAACCCAGAGACTTACCTAGATGTTGCCCCCAGCTTGTTCACCAGGAAAACATCGGGAACTGAAAAGAGTGTAACTGTTACAGCAAAGAAAGAGGATGTAAAACACCTTTCCTCAGCAGTCACCAGGATCCTGTGAATTCTCTCGTGTGTGTGTTTGGCTTGTACTTGACTGGAGAGCTGAATGGAGCATTGTGCCTCTTTCCCGGCGGCACTTGCACACACACACTGCCAGAAGGAGGGGAAAAGAAGCAAAACTTAGAGTGAAGTGCTGCCTTTGAGAGAGCAGTGGCTAATGAAATGCTTCTGTACTTAGCAGGAGCTGGGGGAGCCATAGGTAGAGGCAGGTCTGTGAGACTGAAAGCCAATAGCTTGAGAGACTTGATACTATTTAAAATAATACAGCAGTTTTGGATCTAAACTGCTTCTTTCATGCGCCCTTTTCTCTCCTTTCCTCTATGTGTACATAGGCTAATTATATATGTAAAAAGCCAAGAATAATCCAACATAACAGCTTACCACTGAAGTGCCTGTACCTCAAATATTAGCATCTCCTTTCTACTTGTAATTTTGCCCTTTTGGACATATATGGTAGTAATAACTCAACCATGCTATGAATTACCAGCACATGGTGAATCAGAGCTGATGTTGGAAAAAGGTTTCTTAATATCCAGACTGTTCTCTATTTAAAATCCCTAACATAAAGTTGTATGCATTTATTTTCATTTAAGGAAGTGTGCAGGCAGTGAGACAGAGAGAGGGTTTTCTGCTTTGCAGAGAGAGTTGGAAGAAAAGAAGAGTACTTTTGCACCACTGTATTTTTCCACCACTGCCTCCATCCCTCTGGTATGTGTACATCTCCTGAGGGATCTCAGAGGATTCACTGTGCAGCAAAAGCTTAGAAAAATTTGACATAACTCTCCCTTTGTTTGATTTTTTTTTTCTTTCAACTCTTCCTGGCTCCTGGGATGCCTAGAGGAGTTTGCATGTGTGTGTTCCAGTTACGGTTGGTTGTTCTCCACTCCCCTCTGCAACAGGCCATATGTGTTACAGTTTGGTCACTGTCCCCTTGCAATGTTTACTCCTGCCAATCACCCCAGATTATTTGACTAGGGAAGAATTTGCATTCAAGTCTTTTCTAAAGAAAGGTGTTTAAATGTGATTTTTTTTTCCTTTTTAACAAAGGAAATAGCTGAACAGCACTGAGTTCACTTCCTTATCAAACGTCTTGGCTTAGGTTGCTGATCCTTAATGGAGACATTAGCATGCTTCCTTGTATCTCTTGTGAGCTCTCACTGGTCTCATGGGGACTCCACATGGAGCAGGGGTCCACAGAAGAGTTCACAGCAGGAGCCTCTGCATGTGCTGCTGTCAGCTGAGGGCTATGACAGTCTGGAATAATGTCAGCACTGGCTTGGCGTGGGCTGTTATCCTCAGACCTGTATGGATGAGGACTTTGTGGAGGTGAGACATTTCAGCTCTCTAGCCAGCCTATTCTGAGAAGGCTTCTTGCTCAGTAAGTCCAACTAGCTTTGTATAGAGGGTGAGGGACAAACATCCAGCCAGGGTCACCTGGATGGCAGGAGCCTGTTTTCCTTTTAGCAGAGCTCAGCCTACTGCTCTGCAAGGGGCATAAGTCATTGAGGTGGTCAAAGTGTGCACCAGCCACATGATCATCAGCTAAATAGCAGCTGAAATGGTCCACAGACAGAGCAGCAAGGGTTCCCCAGGCCTCTCTGTCTCCTGACCCAAAGGAGGCATCTCTCCAGGGCCACAGCCTGCTACCAGTTTGGCCCACAGAGAGCAGAATGGGGCCCTCAGCCAGTCAAAGGCCCCATGTCTTCCTGCCTTCCTCCCTTGAGTGGTCCCACTGACCCCAGCACCTTTTTGTGCATGTCAAGGCTGCAGGATGAAACACAGTGTGTTTGCCTGGTTGACCCAATGCTTTAAGCTCCGCACATTTGTCAGTAACATAACTAAGGTGGAAGCAACACTAAATACACACTTAGAGCTAGGGACAGAAGTTACACACAACCCAATTTAAGTGATCAGAAACTGGTTTAAACCTGTAACAGAACTGAAGCTCAGTGTACTTAAACCAGTTTCAACATGGCTGAAACTGGTTTAAGATGCATCTTGCTGAACGTAGTATCAGACTTAACTGATTTGGATCAAACTGGTTTATGAAGCTTCTGTCCCAGACCCCTTCCTGGTTCAAGTTAAATCACAGTCCCCCAGCATCCCAGCATGCTTTCCAGCCCTAGGCTGGGCAGGGCTGGGCTGGGCTGTCTGCTCCAGAGAACAGGGCTGGTCCCACCCCCCTGCTCCCTAGTTGGAGCAGTGAGGGCTGGCTGACAAGGGGGCAAGCCTGGCTGGGGATGCAGCCCAGCCTATGGGGGGGACTGCCCCTGGAAAACCCCGGTTGGGGTTTAACACCTCTTCCCGTGCTCACACTTACTGCTGGCTGCAACGGTGAGCTACAAATCCCAGATACACCTGGAAACAGGAAGATGAAGTGATGAGCAATCTTGCAGAGTCCCATTGCTGTAATTCTGGACTGCAAATCCCAGCAACTTTAGGGGGTAGCGGGAGAGGAAGTGAACGCACAGCCAGAGAGCTGTGGACTATCACCCCCGAGCTTCTGGCCTGAGCCACTTCAGGCATGTGGCTGCATTTCCTGAGTCAAAGGTAAATGTCTGTTCACTTCTGTTTCAGTTTAATCTGTGCAATTTAGACTAACCTGCACAGACTGAATTGACTCAGCCTTGGGCTTTTTGGCTGTCTGTACTTAGCCTAGGTGTCTTTGCATTGCAGCTTCTGCTGATGACCCTTCACGTAGCAAAGCTAGGGAGGGGCTGCTTCCTGGGACCAGGCAGGCTTGGTTGAAGGGTGGGCAAGCATTCCTTGCATATGTGTACAGGGGGAGAAGTTGGGCAGGCATAGACTGGGCTGGTGGATCCAGCAGGAGTTAGGACCTCTGTCCAGAACTGCACAGCTTGGGAGCACAGAGGAGTCTTTTTTCGCACCTGTAGAGCAGCCCATGCACAGCCTATGTGATGCATTGTGGGCTTGTCCTTAGAAATATTACTGTAATTCTAGCAATGCCTAGAAGCAGCTGAAACCAATGTCCAGTTGTCTTCAGTCCTTTTTTTTTTCATTTAAATGATAAGGTATTTTTTACAGGATTCAGTCTGGATCAGCCCTGATACTTATAGGAGAGATTTGCCACTGATCTAGGAGAAGTAAGATGATAGCCTCTGGTGTCTAAGGGAGGGTTAAAGGAAGAGGTGGGGAGTGTAACAGGCAAAAAGCAAACCAAGGACACCAAGGGTAGAAAAACAGGCAGCCTCCATCTTCAGACTGCTTTCTGCTGTAATCGCTTCAGTGGGCTTTGAAGCAACCCTGTAATGTGTTAGGAGTGCAAGGGAGTATGCTAAAAGTGGATTTTACAGGGAGTGTTGCTTTAGATACTGGTTCCAGGCATTTATTTAATTAAATCCGGGTGGGCCCTTCCCTGGCTGATGCAAATAGGCCTTTTTTGGGCTGCTTCAGTCTCAGGATCTGACCTCAGTTACACAACTATCACTTTGTAACATAAGCCATCCAGAGAGCTGCCTATGCTGTGAGTAGCACAGAGAAGTAGCTCTTCCCTGTCCTATTACTATGTACTATTATTTATCCATTTGTTACTTCTATAAGATCTGTATTTTTTTCATACTGTGCACTGAACATAGTGATTCACGTGTCCTCAATCTCTCCATCCGTTTGTTGTATCCACCCCTTGGCGCTCACTGAATGCTCAGGTTGGAAGCTTTTAGAAGCACAGAATGACATTTTGTTACACGTATATATAAAGCACCATGAGGTCCTGCTATCAGCTTGCAAGACAAACACATCTTGCTCATTTAGGGCCGGATTCTGTGACATGAGCTCTGTTTGACTGCCTCGGGAGATAAAAGTGCAAACTGTTTATGAGCTTACACTCAGCCCTTCAGACCCGTTAAAGAGGTTCTTTTGAAATGAGAACGAGGAAGAAATCTACCTGAAGCTAACAGTTTGGCTGGGTTGTTTTTTTGGTTTAATTTTGGATGTGTTTATATCAGTCTCTTTCCCTTCAGCTTGTTATTACTGTATTCTGACCTTTCAAAAGAGATCCGCAGTAGCCAGATCATGGCAAAGGTTTTCGAAAGTGATGAGTGATTTAGGAGCTGTGTTTCCTCTCAGCCAGTTAGGGCCAGATCTTTTCCCACCTATTAAGTACCAGCCTATTCCATCCCGTTTGAGTCCTGAAAAACTGTTAATGCCAAAGGCAGATGGGTCCACTGCCTCCTCACTGCTTTTGTGTTGTAGTCTTAAGGCTAAGAACAGTGCATCCTAAAAGGAGAAGTGTTTCATTGTTTTTTTCAGGCCTCAAGCAGGGGAGAACAGAGTTGCATGCAGGTACCTAAGTCCACTTTGGCACTGTTAATTAGGAAAGGGTTGGGCCCTGAGCCATATGTAAAAATCCCAGCCATACTATTATTTTAAAGAAGAAAACAATCTATAAAGTATGTGCATCTGTCTAATCTCTCTTTACATCTATTCATTATCAAGGTGGGGAGGTAGAATATAAAACCCCCTTAGCAGAGTTGTAATTGCGAAGATTTCTTGTTGTGCAAAGGCGTTGGGGAAACAATGTTCCCATAATCGCAACCCAGACGCAATGGTCTAAAATTGCCTGGTGCATGAAATAAAAAAGTAAAAGGGTAATGTCAGAGGGAGAGGGACAGCGCCAGGCAGAGCTGGGGCTCTGCAGCAGCAGTTTGCCCTCCAGAAGCACCCCCACCCCAACCGCTGGGCAGGAGGACAAAAGCAATACAAATACAGGCTGCTTGTTTTGGATGCAAACTTTCTCTGCTTGCATCTGCCTGAGCGGGACAGTGCACAGCAGAGAGACAGCTGGAATTTTCCACTCTGCAGAGGTGACGTGTCTTCCCATGCAGGCAGCAAGGGGGAGTGGGGGGTTAGAGATCTCAATGCAATGAGAATACATGCACAAGATGTTGCTTTTTCCTTCCCCCTCTTGATGCCCAAAGCTGTGAGGTAGGACATGTCCCTCCCCACCCTTAGGCATAACACTGGCTTCTTTGTGTCCATGGCAGGGCTGGACTAGCACTGGTGGCTGCTGCTGCTGCTCTGTAAATGCAGCTGCTTGTGTTCAATGTTAAGCCTATACAGTACTGCAGGGGCAGATAGGCTGACCCCTTGCCTGTAGTCTCTTAGCTAGGTGGGAAAGGAGCCTTCACCTGGGAGGGAAATCCATTAGGATCCCTTGTGTGAATGAGGCTTTTGCAGGGTTAGACCCTTTGTTTTTCAAGCGAGATATGATGGATGTCAGCATGGCTTTGCAGTAGAGCTGGGCAGGAAGCCTTGTGACCACTCTGCAGATTAAAAGCAGTGCTGTGGAGAACTGAGGGCTGGTGGCAAGCAGTGAAGGCCTCTTGCAATGGCTCCAGATGGGTGACTTCAAGCTCTGCTCTGGCCTTGTGTTGGAAGCTGTCTCCAAATGACCCAGCTGTCAATGGGGACCTGGTCATTGGGGCTAAGGAGTCAAAGGTGACCAGATGGGATGCTCCAGCCACATTGCTGCCTTGTGTGCCCTTGATGACAGGAACAAGTGTTCTTAACCAGGCCTGTAGTTGTTAGACTTGCTTAGATCTGTTGACTCTTCATGGATCTGGATGACCTTTTGCTTTCTAGTCTCCGTGGCTGAGCTGACTGGCTGTCAGTAGAGGCCAAGACTTGTGGCTTTCCTATGTCTACTCAGAATTTCTTGCAAAAGGAGTTGTGCGTAGAGACCACAACCTAGTTTCTAGGAGGACCCAGATCAAATCAGGTCGCCCCTATTTAGGAGTCTCCCTTGATTGTTTTGTGTTGAAACAGTACAAAATGGACAAGCTGGCTACCTGTTCGCAGCCCCAAACACACCCTGGATATCAGGAAGTGAAATTGCACAAGATGGGGACCCAAGTCAGTTCCTGGTTTTCAGCTAATGATGTGAATTACTGTAGGCAGCAAGAGTGTCCCTGTGGCATCTTCTGTGCATACTCCACCAGGACTGTATACAGATTTCCAAAAAGAGGACAGGAGGAAGGAGGTATGTGTTATGTCTTCCACAATGCCAAGCTTGACTCATTCAAACAGGGAGCAAACCAAGCTGGTCAGCTAAACAGATGTCAGATCGGAAAGAATAACTAACGCACTCCCCAAGGTCCACCCCTGTGATGCCCAGCTGTGAAACTGCTTGCTGTAGATTACCCAAGTCCTTGTAAGGTGATTGTCTTTCCTCCAAGGTGCTTTGATCTGCACTACCACTGTTAATAGGGCTACCACCTGAAAGAGCACCCTCAGGGATTGGTGTCTACGCTGTCAAGATGAATGACAAAAACACCAACTGCCCCAGATACCAATGCACTGCTGCATGAGTTCACATCCAGTCTGACTTCATGCCCTGGCTCAGGTTGTACAGCGCAAGTTGGAACATGAGGGGAAAGCTTTGGCTTGCTCAGTGGCCCTAAGACAGCCCAGCTCACCTCCAGTGGGGGCATGACAGGAGACTGGATCCTGCCGTTTATGGCAAGCCTCAGCAAATGTGTGTCTTGTGTCTGGCCAGGCTCAGACAAACTCCCAGCAAGAGAGAGCTCCTCACACAACTTCAATTACTCTATAGACCAAATAGTTCAAACTTCTAGTCCCAAGGGGGGACGGGGGACACACACACCCCAGGAGCTCCAGTCTCTGAGATTGCTGGGGGTCGAGGTGTTTTAGGGGTGTGAGGTGTGATAGTCAAGGTGCTTGTGCCTCTAGAATACACCTGGCAGTGAGTGCAGAGACAGATGGGGAGGTAGAATGAACAACTTTGCAGAGTCCTGTTGCTGTCATTCTGGACTGCGAATCCCAGAGAACTGGTGGGCAGCAGGAAGAGGAAGTGAACGCACATCCAGAGAGCTGTGTTCTAGCACCCCCCACTTCTGGCCTGAGCCACTGCAGGCATGTGGCTTCATTTCCTGAATCAAAGGTCTGTTCACCTCTGTTTCAATTCAATCTCAGAGACAGTGCAGAGCTGTAATGTGCCCTTGCTGGGCTGCTCCCCCTCAAGTGCCTTCCATGAACTTTCATTTCTACCCAGGAGAACTTTTACAATCTTTTCTCCAATGCCTGATGAAGGATGTTTGTGCCCAAAAGCTTGCAATTAAAGAAATTTTTTTGCAAAAATCTTGTTGGTCCAATAAAAGAGATCATCTTTACTGCAAGTCCTGATTGCCTTTTCCCAGTTGTGAGGCACAAAAGGCCTGGGGGATAGTGGTGAGACATGCAGCCGAGAAGAGAGGGTGGCTTGGGCAATGAGAACAGATCCTGAGCACACTTCTTGAATCTGGCATTGAACCCAGCTGGAATGGTTTGCACAGCCTGGCCAGCATGATGGCTTGGCCTGGTTCAAGGGCAGGACATTGTTTTCAAGCATGGTTTATTTTCTCTAGCAAGCAAGGCAACAGGAGAGAGGAGGGCTAGACTGGACATCAGGTGTTTGAAACTTTTTGTGTCAAATTTTGTCTCTTTCCTTCTTTTTCTGTTGTCTCTACTTTCTCCAGCTCATCTGTATCCTTTTTCACTGCAAACAATTGGAGGAAGCAACTCACGTCCTGACACTGCTTCCTTCATCTGGGTTGTGGGATGCATTTGAGCTGAAAGGGGGAAGAATCACCACAGCAGTGGCTGTGCTGGCTGCAGCACCAGATGGGGCACTCGGAGAAGAGCTAAAGCATTGGATCAGCACGTACCCCACAACTGGGACAACTTTCAAGACAAGGTAAGGAGAGGAGGTGAAGGTCCAGCAAGAGGTGGCCCTTCTGATATCAGTGCAGGTGTGGGAGAGCTCAGTAAAGGCAGGACAGGTGGAAAGGGGAATTACTGCACAACTGGAGCTGCCTGCTGGAAACGGGTTTTGCTTTGGTCGGTGATTGAAGGAAATGGTGAAAATGAACTGCAAATATTTCAAGCGAGTGAAGTTGTTGTCAGTTGAGGTAAGGCAGGAACACGAATCCCCAGGTCCCACTGTTGCTGTCAATCAGCCACGGATGAGCCTGAAGCTTCATAGGAGAAAATACTATCTCTGCCTCAAAGAGCTTGTAGTAACAAGAGGGGAAAACTGCAAGGAATCAGTGAGCAGGACCCACCTACACCTACAATCTGGGCCTAGTCTTGTGGGTCATGGAGAGTTTCCCATGTAGAGGAGCTGTAGGATAAGACTTCTTTGTTGGAGACAACACAGGAGCACACCAGGTCCACAAGGGAGGGAGACTTGGTGGGAGAGAGCCATGCTCAAGAGAGGTGGAGGCCAGGGAAAGAGGGAGACGCCCAGGGTAGAGAGTGCAGAGATTTGTATCTGGATGGGTGAGATCCTAGGGCAGGAGAGCAGGGGGGACACGGGGAGCTGGAGGCTTAGAACTGGCTGGAAGCAGAAGGGGGACACCTGAGGGCAGCAAATTGACTGGTGAGTGGATGCCTCTCTGCTTTGCATCTGCCTTTTCCACCTCTCCGGCTGCATGCCCCAGATGGCCTCGTCTTCCAAGGGAGCATCAAGCAGGATCAAGGAGGGAAACATCAGGCTGTATTTCTTTTCCCCTACTCCCTCACCCATGCCCCAAAGTCTGAGCCAGAGTAGCCCCAGCTCGTCACACGTGGACCAGCTCCATGGCTGAGCAGAAGAAACTAACCAGCTGCCTCCTGCCCTGGCCCACACACTTGTTTGCTTGCTTTGAGCCTGGCTGGCCTCTTTATTAGCGCCACCTCTGCCCACCTTCTGTTACTAAGACATCTATCTCCATGTGGCAGAAGGAGCAGAGCAGCCAAGTCCTTGGGAGAGGGTGGAGTTATGCAGAGGCTATGCAGACTGCAGCAAGAGGGGGACATGCCCCTGCATCAGCTGAGGAGGAGAGCTGTGGCTTCCCCTGTGATACAGCAAAGGGTGGGGGATCGAGTCTCCCCCCGTCCTCCTCTTTACCCAAGGCATCCAAATGTCCCAGACCTCCCTCTGGGATGCAGGAGGAGCAGCTGCAGTGGTTGTTTCCACTGTTACAAATCACCGCAGTCCTGGCTCTGGAGGCCGAGTGCAGTGAACGTTGTGGGTTGGATCCGTCTCCCAGTGGTGCTGATGGGGTCCAGAGCGACTCTTCAGCATCTGTAGAGTGGCTCCAGATTTCTCTGGAAGCAGGATCTGGCATGGGAGAATTATCAGCCAAATGGAGGAACCTGTTTGGGTTATCTGTGCTGGCGGCCCTACTGCGCCGACGTCTATTCAGCTCAGGAAGCAAAGTCCAAGTGCTGCTGCCCCCAAGGCAGTAGTGGGGAGAGCATTTCAGAGGGGATGAGGTCTGCAGACATTTGGTTATTTTTTGTTGATTCAACAAAGCCTGTAAGGAGCAGAGTCAGGTTTTATCGGGGCCTTCATCTTGGCATTTCCTGTGTATTCCCTCTCATAGCGGCCCCTAGATCCAGTCCACATGAGTCACAGCTCTTGTGATGATGACTGTCCTACCTGACCGTCCTACCTGCCAGCCCGGCAGACAGTCCACTGGGCTCCGAGAGCTGCTCTGCTACCAGTCATGCCTGCCAGAGAGCAATTCAGGTAGGCGTGAGCCAGCTGGCAGTGTGGAGAGCCACCCCCCTGCCAGAGGGGCGCTGGCTTCATGAGGTCCTTGGGAGCAGCGCAGGGGCTCTGTTAGCAAACTGAGCAGAGGGTCCCTGGAGAAGTTATGCTGAAGCAAGATGGAGCCATTTTACAACAGCCACTTTCCTGACCACAGCCATCCATTAAACAAGAGAAGATTGTACTGGGGGGAGAGAGCAGGACACCAGGTCTTCATTTCCTGCTAGCCAGATTGCCAAGTCAGTGTTTTCCAAGGGGCCTATTTTGTCACGAGTGAACAAAAGGAGGAAGCCCAGGCCCTCAGCCATTCCTGTCCCCTCCATCTGCTTCAGGCTAAACAACCCAACCTCCATTCAGGAGCTTGTGAGGGAGAGTGACCTGTTGGCAGAAGGAGAAGAGGGCATGAGAGACTGTGGCGACGGGTCAGGGATGTAACAGGAAGGAAGGAAACTGGAGTAGGCAGGGAGATGGCCCAGGCTGGGTCTTCTGCTAGTGTAAAGTCATGAAGAAGGGTTGATTTATAGCAGCTGAGCAGGGATCCAGTGTAGGGGACGAGGGGATTCAAGAGACAGAGGCAGAGGGCTAGGAGGCGCAGGCTGAACAAGGCAGAGGAAGAAAATAAAATAAGGGAGAAAAGTGAAGGAAAAGCTACCCCACCCACTGGCCAGTCTGGTTTACTGCAAACCTTTTTCTCCTAGTTATATCACATTGCACTGGCAGGGTGGAGTGTATTGGTCTGAACTGTTATGAATCAATTGTTCAAGGTTTGGTGAATATTCAAGCCCCTTTTAAACTCCAGAAGCCTTTCAATGAAAAGACTTTTGCTTTAGCAGAGGTGTGGAGCACTCAAAATGGGCCCCCGGCTGGCCTCAGCAGTGCTCCAAGCCTGCGAGAGCAGCATGAAACTTCAGACTTCTTCCTAATGAGGCTGCATCTCGCTGGAGGGCTCAGGGAGACTGATTGGACCTTCCTTGTGCTGGGGTAGTAATTAATTCAGGTACCAGCCCTGCTCTGGAAAAAGAAGAGTAGCGATCAAGCCTACACCTGCCACATGCCAGAGAGGCTAAGGGACCAGATGTCATCCAATATGTTTAAGACCAAGTTTCTGCAGCTCTGGACATAGAGCAATACGGGTGTCATTAGCCTGTGGCATTTGAGACATCTGGTACTGGCTACTGTTGGGAGCAGGCTATTGGACTGGGCAGGCCGATACGATCTGCTTATTGCAATTCCTTCCACACTTCCACGTGCACCTTGTATTAGCCAGCCTTCATCTGGTCTGGGGACTTTGTCCTCTCCTAGCTCTCAATGAGCTAAACTAGTTGATGATGGGAGGGAAAGCCAGGGCAGGCCAGTGACATATGCTGAAGGCGGCTCCAGGATCAGACCAGGGGAAAATACAAAATGACAATAATGCTCCTGTAACACAGGCAAAACTACAGCCCAAAGGGCGCAAGATGACAAACCTGGACATGTGTTGCAAGGTCACAAATGCAAAAGGGTGGGAAAAAAAATTGATCAGGTGGCTGCCAATACTGACTTGGTTTGGAGGCCAGAGGGCAGGGTGTCAACTGCTCTAACTTCCAAGGAGGTGTGCTGAGCAGTAGACCGCAGAGCAAGTTCCTTGGCTGCTACAATTCCCACTTTAGCAAAGGGAATGTGACCATCCCTGAGCCTACCTCTTCCACTGGGAAACTCCCCACATCCTAAACCTAGCTGGGGGAGCCCCAAGATCCACCCTGCCTAGCACTAGCCTGAAAACGCTACCTACCTGCGCCATCAACTTAGCTCAAGGAACCCTATGAGGTCCAACCATAAACAGCCTGAGACTTTGCCCATTCTCTAACACTGACCTGAGCCCTAGCCTGAAACCCAACTCAGGCCAGGCTGCTTCAGCTGCTCCAAACCTAGCCATAGGCAGGAGATCCCTAGCAGTCTGACCACAAGAACCATTTTGGAGAGACCCCCAAACCTAGCTGAAAGATCCCTAGCAGATGCAACCCCCTCACTGTAGAAAGGAGAATCTAACCAGTGCTGAGCTTAGCAATGGGTGATATAGATGTGTTCTGGGCAGAGTCCTGAACAATATAATGAGGCTGGGATGGGGAGACAATCATGGTGGGCCTTTGCTATTCACAAGTCTTTCTGCAACATGCATCCTGCTATTTCACTGCCTGCTTTATACAACAGGCAAGGGCACCATGTCGGGGCTCTGGATCACAGTCTTCACTCTGCCACTGCTGTGGACTCCGATCACAGCCATCGCGCCCTCCCCGGATGACACTCTGTGCCCCGTGAATTGCTCCTGCTCCTGGTTGCAGCGGTTGGTCCAGTGTGCCAATGCCAGCCTCTCAGCTCTCCCCACTGGCATTGCCAATAACACAGTGGAGCTTGACCTGCAGCACAACAGTTTCAGTATCTTGTCATCAGGCTTCTTCCCGGATCTTCCTGAGATCACCAGCCTTTACCTGGGCAGCAGTCATATCCTCCAGGTGGCATCGGGGGCTTTTAAGGGTGTCAGGAACCTGTACCACCTTCACCTGGACAACAACCTCCTTGAGCAGCTCCCACAGGATGTCTTTGTGAACATGACAAACCTGATCTTTCTCCACCTGCAGCACAACCAGATCACCTACCTCCCACCAGGTATCTCCAGATGGAGAAGTCACCAGCATCAGTAAGGGTTGGCTACAGGAAGAATGAGAATGGCTAGCCCTGCATCTCTTACCCTCTCATCCCTGGTCCAAACGTTGGGTCTCCAAGAGCCCCAATGCTTCTGAATAGATAGGGCTGCCACCAGACCTTCTGCACATACATGATACGGGTTATCCTAACCAAGAAAAATGAGAGAGGGGAACTCAGGGCTGATGGAGACCAAGGGGCATCCTGATCACAGATTGTTTGAACACAGAATAGTTTGGGATAGGATTTCAGCTGGAGCAGCACCCCCGCCCCACTCCTCTCTTTCTCACTGTTTCTCTTTCTCTCTCTCAGGAGTGTTCTCCTCCTTGAAGCAGCTCAGTGTCCTGGACCTGAGCCACAACCTACTAGGAGAGCTCTCTGACCAAGCCCTTGGTGGTCTCTCACAGCTCCGTCGGCTCTACCTAACTGCTAACCGTATCTCCAATGTGTCAGTCCGCATCCTTCCACGCAGCCTGCGGACACTCAGCCTTGACCAGAACCAGCTGGAGAGCGTGCCCACAGTCATCCGCACCTCTGTCACGCTTTCCATACTGCAGCTGAGTGGGAACCCCATCCGAAAGCTGACATCGCTCTCCTTTGGGAGGCGGCTCCGCTCGCTGAACCAGCTGTTCCTAGACAGCCTCTCCTTGGAGAAGATCACTGCGCTGGCCTTCACCAGGCTGCACAGGCTGGAGGTGCTGAGCCTGAGAAACAACAGCCTGGAGTCGCTCCCATCTCTGGCCTCCATGAGGTCTCTCTCTGCTCTGTATCTGACTGAGAACAAGTGGTGCTGTGACTGCAGCTTGATCTGGCTTCGGACCTGGCAGAAGAAGGTGACCCAACAGGATCGCAGCCCTGTTGAATGCAGCTCTCCGAGGGCGCTGCAGGGACAACTCCTCGTGGATATAGAAGTAAGTACTTGGTGTTCACAGGCTGGCTGGTCTTTGGCCTTCAAGCCAAGTTTTTCCTCTCTTTCACTTCAAGAGCTGGTGGCGGTAGGAAGGGGGCTATTTTTCAAGGCAACGATACCTTAAATTGGAGGAGACAGATGTAACAACTACATTGCAGGCTGGATCTTATGGGCTGATAGCTTCCACTTCCTGAATATTGACCCTCTACCATCTACCAGCCCCTGAAAAGCTTAAATTTGGCCTTTTGGTTTCTACCAGCCCATTCCCCAGGAATGAAGATCTTTCCAGGTTTGAACTGTGTTCTTTGTGAGTCAGCTGCTAGGGGGACGGTCTACCCCACAGTCTGCCTAAATGTAAAGCTTTTAGAGAATATGATGCACATTAACCTTTTGTACAGTGTGGGGAGGGAGCAGCAAGGAAAGAAGGGCCATGGGGTATTAAGAACAGTTGGGCTTAATCTTTCAGAGTTTGGAGGGAGTAAGTGTATTGCAGGTCAGGAGGATGCCTCCATTGCAGGTTTGGCAGCTGGTGAGGAGGAATGAAAGAGATAGCAGCCTACTGTTTTCTGTGCTTCTGGCTCAGTTTCCTTCCTTCCTCCTTCTGCTCTTTTCCACTTCCCTTCCTAACTCTTGTAAGGAACAGCTCTTTGTTGGGTTGGGGTGTGGGTGAAGAGGTCAAAGGTCATTCTCCATTTTGGGAGGTTCTGGATTCCAGGGCCCTGGGCAGAGAATGGCAGGCTGTGGTTTATGGCAGGCTCAATACTGTGAAGTTTTGAAGGCGCTACCGTGTAAGTTGAGGGCATGAAGAGGTCATGTTCTGTGCCCAGTGCAGCTATGCTACCAAGCTCCCCCATGTTGATGTAGCTAGCTGAGCTCGGAGGTCTAGCAAGCTCAGTGAGCACCCTGGGCGTGGGGGAGGCCTAGGGGTATGCCCACTTCTGTAGATGGATGGGAGGGTAGGAGGGGCAGGAGTGGGTGAAGAGGGAGGGGTGGGAGGGAGCAATTCTGGCACCCCCTTCTAGTTGGGGCCTGGGGTTCATGGCCTGCTTGCCCTGCCCGAATCATGCCACTGACTGAACTTGTGTCTATTCAGAGGCATGGGGTAAGTTCACTATCCCCAAAGCCCTTTCTTTTTCTATATGATGCATCTCGACTAGGGGCTCCTGCAACACAGCTAAGCCAGTACAGCCCTGGTGCCATTGTTAAATAAAAGCTCATGTGGGCACAGTGTCCAAGATGGCCCAGATCTCCCCCTTCTGTTGCCTACTTCCCACATCTTCCACCTCCGTTCCTTCTCTTGCATTCACTCTAGGCATCTTTTCTCCCCTTCCTTTAGCTCCCTCTAAGGTCCATTCAGTCTCTTTCACTTGCAGTGCAAAGGAGATGGGCACTGGGCGGCATTGCAGTCTGTCCACGTGGGCCAGGAGCCAGCTGCGTATGGAAGGGGTAGCTGGGCCAGCAGCGAACCTGTGCCGGAGCCAAGAGGGGTGGGAGGGCTGCGAGAGAGGCCTCAAGCTCAGTGGGAAGAGCAGACCTCTGGTGTGTGATCTACTCTGTGGGAAGCTGAGCCACATCCATTCAGCCATGATCCAGCAGAGCTAGTCAGATTTCCCCTGCCAGTTTGACCAGCACAGCTAGCAAGTCGTTCCCTCGGGGACCAGTGGATACAAAAGGGATAGTTTATAAAAATAGTGTGCAAAACACTTGCTTTTCTAAAGCAGGTCAGGGTTCACCCCAGAGATGGAGTCATTCTTAAATAAGGGACATGTAGTCACCCTAACGTTCTTGCAAACAACAGAGCTAAAGACAGTTTTCGTAAGAGGAACTGGCCTAATAGCCAGAGATGATGCCAACTGGAGCATATTCTACTATCTCACCAGCACCACTCTCCCCCTCCATTTTAATTGGATCAGATACTCTTCACTTCCGGTCCTAAACTCCTACCCTCTCCACAAAGTAACCTCCCATTTGTGTCTGGTGTTGTGACCCAGAGCGACTGGGCTGTTCCATGCTTGTCAGTAAAGGATCTCTCTCTGCCCATACTGTCAAGAAGATAGTGCTGCTTGAAGGCAGCATTGATATAGGAGAGGAAATGATTTCTCATCTGGGTTTCTTTTCCTCCCTTTCTAGCTACAGAAACTGACTTGCCCGCCTTTTGGCACAGACTTCACCACTGTGAACCCAGCCAAGAATAATACACCCGTAGCCACTGTGCCATCTCTTCCACAGGCTGCCACCACACTTACCACCACTACCTCTACAGCCCTTATTACCATCAGGGGCACTACAACAACACGCTTAGCTACCTCCCAGAACCACCCGTTGGCAAGATGGGACCCATGCCTGGCCAGTGTCATCACCAGCGTCAGCATCAGGCCAAAGAGTGATACTTCTCTAGTAGTCGCTTGGTCCTTTGCTGGTGACCATGACCAGTTTGAGGTGCGATACAAGGAGGGCAAGGATGAGCAGGTGCTGCGGGTGATAGGTGAGCTGCCTGAGGTGGAGCTCCATGGTCTCCTTGCAGGGACTGAGTACAGAGTTTGTGTCATCCCCCAGAATGAGCATCTCTTGGAGTGCTTGGCCCCTGCTCCCCAGCAGTGCGGAGCAGGGCACACCACAGGCCATCTACAACCCATCCATGCCCCACTTGGACACAGCCACTCTGCAGTGGGCACTGGGGTCGCCGTCACTCTTCTAGTACTGGTGGTGCTAGCAGTGGTCACTATTTATAGACTACGGGCCCGACCAATCCAATTCCAACGCCATTACGATGAAGATGAGTCATTCCCACATCGCAGCAGCAGCAGCAGCATCAACCAAGCCAAGGTGACCATGGGCCCAGTTTATGAGAACATAGAGGATGATGACCAGCATGTTTACATGACAGCTGCCAGCCAGGGGCCAGAGGAGAAAGTAGACTGCACCCTGGTGACCCCACCCTGGCTCACACCCACCCCCACGTACGTGACTCTCTGATTCCAAAGCTGCTCTGTGAGATGCAATGGCTGAACAGGACTAAAACCCTCAGGCCTTCCAGCCACCCCAGGGACAAACCACTGTTGGAACCCAGGGAGTGAACTGAACTGTTTGTAGCCAACCCTTGCAACTGATGCAATAAAGTCAGTCAGATCCTTAGAAACTGATATAAAATAGGCCCAATACCATAGGCCTGTCTTCTCTCCTGTGCAGGATTGTGCCCTACAGCATTGGTGCCTTACAGTGCAGTTTCTACCACCCTGCTGTAGAAAGGCTTGTGCAGAACTTCATGCCCCACATGTCATTTGGAAACTGGCAAAAAGGTGTCCCAAGCTCTGTTCAGGTATCTATGTCACTCACAAAGCAACACATCTTCCTGCTTTCACAGCCAGTGATAATCAATAACCATGGTGCTCAACCTTCTAACCCTGCAGGCCAGATGAGGATCACGGGCTGATCCACAGCTGGATCTTGCAGTTGAGGTCAGTATAGCAGCTGGACCCAGGAGGGGTCTGTCCACGGGTGCAATCTGGCATGCTGGCCTGACTCCATACAGCACAACCAGATGTGGTGTGATCTAGCCCATAGCACTCCCTCGGGTCTGGAAATTTGGCAGGGCTGTATTATCCAGTCCCTGGGCCTGCCTACAGGCCCTAAAAGGGCCAGGACTAAACAATGAAAAAAGCTAACATCACCTTTGTTTATAGTAGCCATACCCTTCCCTTTTTACTGCAAAATGAAATAATCATTTGTGCATTGATTTACAAAGACTGTTGTATATCATGCTACCCACCCCCACTTCCAGCCTTCCTGATGTTTTGCTGGACCAATAAAGCTTTTAAAAATCAGTTAAATAGAAATGTGTTCCTCCTTGTTGGCACCAGGTGAATTGGTTTAATGGAGCAAGGAAGTTGCATCCAGGCAAGCATGAGAGTGTGGTATGTGGTACTGTAGACCTGTCTGTGGCACTACACACCACACATGCAGGCATTTCCAGTGCTGCTACCTTGCAGCGTGGTGGGGGGGGATTTGATCCCAGAAGATCCCAGGATCAAAAGAACCCAAGCCAAAAAAAAGGCAGGGTGGCAGATGCAGGGGCAGCACACACCGCCCAAAACCACAGCCTGGCTGGCTGAAGCCACACTCCGACTGCCAGCCAGGCTCCTAGCTGCAGAAGTGCCATGGCTGCAGCTCCCCACCATCCCCAGGTAAGGCTGTTAGGGCAGCACAGTTGCTGGCCCAAGCCTCCCCTACCCCACCCCGGGTAACCTGCCACATCCCAGAGCACATGTGGCACAGGCATTGCCTAGGGACAAGCAGCAGTGGCACAAGGTGTGCTACTTGTCCCTAGAGAAACAAAACGCCCATGCTCATCTGGATGCAGCTATGATGGGTAAAAACAAACTGCTCCAGGACACCAGTTTGACTCCACTCACAGTACAGCAGAGATATATGACATCAATCTCTAGCAATGGATGTCATATATCTTGAATTCAAAAAAGTCTTCAATCTGGTATCCCATGATCACCTCTTGGCAAAACTGGTCAACTGTAGCCTTGGGTCCATCACAATCCGCTGGCCAGGGAATTGGTTCCGTGGTCAGACCCAGAGGGTGGTGGTTGATGGAAGTCAATTGTCGTGGTGCCCTGTGACCAGTAGGGTCTCCCAAGGCTCTGTGTTCTTCATTAATGAAGAACAGGTAAAACAGGTTCTGTAAAATGGGTATAGCATGCAGGGACATCAGTATACATCATGAAAATATCAACTGCAAGAAATCCACACACAGCCTCCGTGGTTTATTTTGAGCTGTTGTGCTCCAGCTGCTTACTTACAGAATTGATGACATAACACACAAATGTGATGGCCTAACCCGGGTTTCTCTGTCACATACTTGATGAGAGGATCTGTTCCCTTGTGTGCTAAGGTATAGAACTGCAGTGCTTCCATAGCTACAAAAAAATCTGTACCCAAGGCACCTAGCAAGGACATGCATATTCAGGGACAGAAGACACTCTCCTCTCTTCTGAGCAACAGCCCCTGTCCTCTAGCCCAAGAGTTCCAGGGTAAAGGCCAACTGGGAGTACTGGTATGCATAGACACCACCTCCTCAAGCTTACTGGTTAGGGTTTAACTATGAAACTTTGACCCTTCAGTAGATGAGAAGCTCCTGAAGAAATTGGGCACAAGGACAAAGCTGGCATGGGTACAATCCTCCCCAGTGAATGGGGCAGTTTAAGCTTCACAAAACATAAAATCGACTTAAGCAAAGGACCAGGACACTAGGCAGCAGCAAGGTGGTCAGCGCCTTTTTGTTACAGCTCTGTACAGCTTGGAGAAGGGGATCAGGAAAGCTGCACCTCAGGGAACAGGTAGCCTATAAGTATATAAGGGATGTACATCAGGATCTGGGGGAATGC